CTTTGCTGCCTTCTCTGGAACAAATGCTTCTATTTTTGATATTCAACAGGTGAAAGCAGAAATGGAGCAGCTGATAAAGATAGTGAGCACAAAGCTGGAGGAAATGGCAAAGCAGCTGACTTCTCTTCAACGCCAAGTGCAGGCTGTGGCAGACACTCAGGCAACTAGTTTTACTGGGATGGAGAACAAGGTTGATGCTGCTGAGAAGACCATACTGCACAGCACTCAGGAGATATTGGAGACGATTAACAGGGTGGCTTTTGAAGAAGTGGAAGAAGCTTCTAATGACCCCATAACCCCAGCTGATGAACCTACCTATTCCCCATAATTGCAATTTCGAACTTGTCACTTTTAATTTCTTTTGCTTTTGCTTGTTTCATTTGGATTTCAGTTTGTAATCTTTAACTCTTGCTACTCTTTCCTGCTTTTGATTTTTGTCTATGGGAACTTGGCTCGTATTTCTCATATGATTGTGTGTGTTTGCTGATAATTTAGTACCTAACTTATTTTTGCCTTGCATTATTTGAGCTCACTATTCCCTACGTAGTCTAGTGGGAGTATAGCAAAATGTTTTTTTTTCAATCTTTTGATAATGCCAAAAGGGGGAAAAGATAAACTTCATGGCGGCTAAGGTGTTTACCAAGGAACTCACACATCGAAGGTACAAACTTTTGCTAAGTTCAGTTAACTCAATAAAGTCCTAGTAATCTAAGTTTTTTAAAGTCTTTGTTAATTTTTTCTTTTGCTCAGTCTTTTTAAAATAAATACTTTTTAGTATTTTTCTAAGTTCTTTAATTACTCTGTTTGTTTTTTTGTTTTCATGTCTTGCTTTAAATTTTTGTTGCATGCCTGGATGATTTTATTTACCTAAGTTTGTCAATGTTTGTCATCATCAAAAAGGGGGAATTTGTTGAGCCTTTTGGTTTTGATGGACAAATTGACAAACTCGACTAATGATTGTTTTGAGTCTTTGGTGAATAAAGGGTTCAAGCAAAGTTCGTTCCGGAGTAGGAACTTGGATGCGGAGTAGCATTCTCTAAAAAGCCTCATGCAAATCTCACGTTCTAGTTTTAATTGTGAGCACTCAATAATATAAAGTCGGAAAGGAACTCAATGACTTATGTTATTAAAAAGACTACTGGAATAAAAGTTAGTTTTAAAAGATAATTTCTTAAAGAAAAGATAATTTATAAAAGTTTTATTTAGTCATCTATTTTCGAATAAAGAAAATTATCGAAGATAATTATCTAGTTGTTTTAATATAAATAATTAATTTATCTTTTCAAATAAAATCTTTTTAAACAAACTTTTGATAATCTTTTTAAACAAACTTTTGATAAAGTTAGCAAGCAGTTTTCTTTGTGAAAATCGCTGATTATACGGTTTATCATAGCTAATGTTTATCAAGTTGTTGAGATAGTGGATTAGTGAGATAAGGCTAGGAAACCTCCTTCATGATCACCATCTGTCAAGATAATTCCACAAGTTGTTAGTGGGGTGTTGGCATGTGGACGTGATTATAGTGGAGGTTAATGACTAAGCCTTCTCTATAAATACTCATGCAAACTATCTCAGCAAAAAACAACTCTTGAGCATAAAAATTCCAGTAGCCATCTAATAACATAAAGAGAGTTATTATCCTTCTTATATTCTTGAGTGCAATAGATATTTGTAATCACAGATTGTATTCAAGCACTTTGGGGTTGGGATTGTGAGTTTGTAAAGTGAGGTCAAGGAAGCTTCGTTGCTGAAGGCTTCTGTGAGAGTTGGGAACAAGTTCCTAATTTGTGGAACTTGTTAACGGGTTAGAATCTTCACTTGTAAAAAGTTTGATTACATAGTGGAAATTTAGAAAAGCCTATATTTTCTCTCGTCATTATTTCATTTAGTTAAATTCCGTAAAAGTTCTTAGATTTCACCTCAAATACAATTCACCCCCCCTCTTGTATTAGCCAGTTAGACTTTCAGGATCAGTTCATAAGTCCGTCTTTGGCCTTTATAAATGGTTAAGAGGCTATGCAACGCAGTTGCTTAGTTTGTAGTCATCTGTACCAATTTTCACAGCTTTAATTCTATTAACCAAAGCTAAACAGCAAGTTTAATTAGCTAAATTTGGTTTTACCCTTGACTGACAAGACTAAGTACTGCTTTTTGCAAGATGAAGCATCATTCTAGTCATCACACTATTCACTCTTAAGCATATCTTTTTGCTCATACCCGTAATTGTTTGATAATCAACTTCATAAATACATAAGAATCATTTCAGCTGAATTATAAAGCTGTTGCTACTTGTTAAAATAATGAATTAGCCCTTATATATATCTTCCTTTAAATGAAAGTGATTCCAATTTGTATAATTGAAAAAAAAGGCAGAACAATGGCAGTATTAACAATCAAAGGTCCTTTATGTTGTGTGTTGGTGTGTGTTTACACTTTAGATACTTACAAGCATAAAATTGTAATCATTAATATTAGAAAATCACGATCGAGCCGTTAATTATGTTTGATCTAGCTAAATGCATAACGTTCGATGGTGGATGCATTTGTAATACTTATTATGACATAGCTACCTTGCTTCAAGAAATATATTGTATTAATTTAAACTTTTGACCCAAAATCTTAGGATGATGCTAGTGATTAATAGTAAACAGTCAACGCCTACAACTCTATAAAAGCCATTGTTGGTTTGTGTTTTATATCACTCATCAAATCTTCATTCTCATACTACAGCAATAATACATAAGTTTCTTAATAGTAGCAAGAGTTGATCATCAAAAAATGGCTTTACCCAAGATCATTTATCTTGGGTTCTTAGCTTTGTTGTTGGCTGCTGTGGTCGAGTCACAATCAACTTCAGGTGCATCTTCGGCTGCTTCATCTGCTGCATCTGCAGCATCTTCTGCAGCGTCGTCTGCAGCATCCTCAGCAACATCAACAGCGTCATCATCATCAACATCGTCAGCATCATCAGCCGCAGCTGCTGCCGCAGCAGCAGCATCTGGCTCCTCGGCTGCAGGAGGAGGACAACAATCAAGCTCCCATAACTCATCATCAACCCCACCAACACCGATATATTACCCAACACCTTCAACACCAACACCTAAACCATCAACCCCACCAACACCGGCCACACCTAAGCCCTCGACTCCTACCCCAGCAACCCCAACACCGAAACCCTCTACCCCATCACCAAAACCCTCTACTCCTAAACCTTACACTCCTCCTAATTCTAATGCTGGCTCTAGGAATAGAGCTAGATGCAGAAACAAGAATTACGGACAATGTTACAATCAAGAGCATGTTTGTCCCGCTAATTGCCCTACTTCGTGCCAAGTTGATTGTGTCACTTGCAAGCCTGTCTGCAGTAAGTCATATATTACTCTACTAAAGAATACATATTACCATAACACACGCTAAAACATAATGCCAACTATAAATTTACTCCAACATTAAAGATTAAGTTATATTGGACATACATTTATATGATAACTTTTTATTAGTAGCTAGTAGAGGTATACATAATTTGACTATTTTGTAGTTTTTGTTCAATTTAGTAGTGTTCAACTCTTTCTTTCTTTTTTTTCTTTTTTTTTTTTGTACAAATTACTAATTATAAGTTTTTTGCATTGTAGATTGTGACTATCCAGGAGCCGTATGCCAAGATCCTCGTTTCATCGGAGGTGACGGTATCACCTTCTACTTCCATGGCAAGAAGGATAAACAATTTTGCCTTGTGACCGACCCCAACCTCCACATCAACGCACACTTCATAGGAAAAAGAAACGCAAACATGGGTCGTGACTTTACATGGGTTGAGTCCATTGGAATCCTCTTCGACAACCACCGTCTATTCTTTGGTGCTAGGAAGACCGGCACATGGGATGATGCCAAAGACCGCCTCTCATTGGCTTTCGACGGAGAACCCATATTCCTTGAAGAGACTCTAGGCTCTCAATGGTCATCCACCTCCATGCCACAAGTCACCGTAACAAGGACAAGTGAAACCAACAACATTGTTGTTGAAATTCCAGGAAAGCTTAGGATCACAGCTAAGGTTGTCCCTATTACCGACGAAGAATCTAGGGTACACAACTATGACATTACTGATGAGGACCGTTTTGCTCATCTTGATCTCGGGTTTAAGTTTTACTCATTGACCGGAAAGGTTGATGGTGTATTGGGAAAAACATACAGGAATGATTATGTGAGCCGAGTGAATATGAGGGTAGCCATGCCAATTATGGGAGGAGAAAGACAGTACGCAACTAGTAGCATTTTCGCCACTGATTGTTTAGCTTCAAGGTTTGTTGGTGGACAAGAAGAGACTGCAGTTGAAACCATGGAACTTGCTAGCATGAACTGTGCTAGTGGCATGAGTGGACGTGGTGTTGTTTGCAAGAGATAATTCATCAACATAATTTTAAGATCGTCGAAATTTATAAATTTCAAAACTCGATCAATACTCACTAATAATGTCAATGTACATGGCTGAAAGTCATAAAAAAAATTCAACATTATTATGTTATTTTGTAATAAGATTGTAAGGTGATTACATTTACATTAATACATTATTTATCAATATTTTGGTTAACATACGAACATATCGACTAATTGATAACTATAATCGACCTTGATCAAGCCTGAACTGGCCATCAGAATCGACCTTATAGCAAGCCTGAATTTGACACCAGAATCAAAAGACATAGCTGTTCTTTTATTACATCGAGAGATAGTGTATAAGTGCAGAAAAACTCAAGGGTGCGGCAAAATCTGGATACACATGCTACCATTTTAATTCCATACACATTAAGAAAATTACAGAGCAACCAAGCTAATCTAATTCAATATCGGCCTTTTTCCACAGACTTAATCATAAATTTGATCAATGATTGAGAGTGATCAAGGATTCCAAAAAAATGGCAGATAACAAAGCAACTACATATACAAAGAAAATAAATCTATAAATAACAGATTAATAAATGCAAATTGTCTTACTAATATGAATATTCAATAACCAAAGGCAACAAAAGTATCTGATTTCTGGACAAATAAGACTACTAGGGAAGATGTACGCCATATTTAAAGATATAAATATAGTAATACTACTAGAAGTAAAAGATCAAATGTTTTAAAACTAATTTGAGTTAACCCTTACAACTTACAAGCCATAGTTTAACAGCTTAGTCCGAACAGGGCGAACACCGACACCATGGAAACTGTAGCCCGATCATTAGCTGCAAACAACTGGTCGCTCTACTTGATCTTCTTCTTTGGCCTCAACTGCAAACCAACAGTAAAATTTTCAATTTCAGCCTAAAACAGACATGAAAAATCAAGGGTAAGTTTGTTAGCTTAAAAGCTAAATGTATCAACTTACCTGGTTGCTGTGGCCACATATCTTCTTCCTGCAGTTCAGCACGAGGATGCAGGCGAGCATAGCACCTACAAGATTTAAGATCGAATTAATAATAACACATAGGTCATATAAAGCTGTAGTGCTGGAAAACAGTGCGCCATCAACCAACAAGACACTGCTATGATCATGAGCAAGAAATTCTAATTGTAATGCAACTCAATGTGGTTTAAGATAGAACTCTCAGTCCATACATTCCGGTTAGGAAAGCTAATCCTAATTAGCTGGATCAAAGACATGTAAGATTGAACTATGCTCATAAAACTGTACTGTGCTCATGAGTCATGACCTCATGAAATTCAACCAAGCCATTAGTCTAAAAGCTGGACTGTAAATAAGCTCATTGTTAGACTATTAGAGCCTTATTCAGAAGATGCTCCATTAACAAAAGGAGACTGCACACAAGATAATATCAATGCCAATTGCAAACCTCCGCCATAGAAATCTTATTTTTAAAATAAGAAAGAACATTAAAACAAGCAAGATACTTGCGACAAATCATCTTCTCTTGGTTGAATTTCCTAGCCAGGGCCATCAGAGAAGGCTCAATAATTCAACCACGGAGCCTCAGGACCAGATGAAGAGTAGACTCTGGTATTGCACAATATTTAATCAAATGATCCAATATATGGATACAAGTATAACAGAAAATCAATTACAGAACCAGAAACAAATTAATACGAAGTACTAAGCATTCGTAGATTAATTAATTTCTATGAGAATCGAGGAGTAATCGTTTTACTATGTTAGACATGACTATATATAATCACAAGAAATTAACCAATAAAAAAGGGGAAAGCAGCAAAAGCAGAGCAGCTAACCCTTTTGAATGCTGTAGTCAACAAGAGTTCAGCAATCTTCAAGCTGCTTTCCGGCAAAGATGAGCCTCTGCTGGTCTGGAATGCCTGTTGCAAAGAATATCATCATTATACCTCTCAATTGATGCAACAAATTTCAATAATGTGCCTAAATTAAGAAGCTACAACACACTATTAACACATATGTCAATATATATCCCATCAAAACCCAACACAATCACATGTTTAGCTTATAACTTATAAAAGCTACTATGTATTAGCATTAACACATTCAATGAGTCAACACTATAAAGATAATCTACTAAAAACTTCAAATTCCCAAACAAAAATTTTCAAAACACAGGCACACTAAGATCAAACTGCAATACCCAAGTTTCAAAACACTTTGTCGATGTCATGTTAAATCAACAAAGATTAATAGTAAAATAAATTTCAAAATAAAAGTGAATCAAATTAAAGAAATTCAATTCCGATAAATTTTCAAACTTCTACATGCTATAATATTAAAGATCATACCTTCACTGTAACCCACATCAAATTTCAAATACCCACTATATAAGTTCCATAAATAAGATTTTCCCATCTATCAATTCCTGAATTATGTTGCTAGTGGGAAAGGTTTTAAATGAAATTATTACAACGAAGCAAAACCACAGCAAAATAATGTGTAATAAAACGAACAATTATTATGCTTAACTAATTTTTTTATCAAAAGCTAACCTACAAAATTCAACAGTAGCAATTTTTCTTTGAAGAAATGTTTGGTCTCCTTTGAATAAAGAGATTAAAAATAAAAAAGGAACATGATAGAAAGTTGTAAATGTTTTAAAATAAATAAATTAATAAAGATTACTAGAATCTTGAGTAAAAGAAAGTGATAAAACTTCAAAAGAGGTGCAAGATCAGCTACATACGCACTCTTACCACACTGAGCCTTTGAGATCACAATATTTCAAAAATTAATCATTATCCGAACCTGCATATGTTGCTTTATCACTTCACATGGAACATGTCAAAGGAGCCAAGTGCATCCCCTGCATCAACTTTACAGAATATAGGATGAAGAATTTGTATAATAAAAGTCAATGAGACAACATGTAAGCTTATATCACAAAAGTTTAGTAATTCAACAATTGAGCTTATTCATGCAGATGAAATATGTATTATATGAACATACACAGAATAACACCTTTACCAGCAAGTATAAATGTCAGACACAAACCTATCATTAGTATACAATACTTAACAGGCTTATAAAAACTTGTTGCAAGAGAGTCGTATAAAATCCTGTAAAAAAAGGGGGGGGGGGGGGGGGGGGGGAAGGGTAAAGGAGCAAAAAAAGAACATATTATCTAGTACCATCCATTATCCATAGCAATTATCAATAGGTTGATAGCAAAGAATGCTAAATTAAAAAAACTACATTTACCGGTATACTTTAAATCAATGTTACATCGCAGACCTCTTAATCCATCAACAGCCCATACAGCTCTAATCATTTGCAAATTACAACACAGTTATTTGATGTTATCAAAATATGAAAAATACGCATCATACAATCATCAAGCAGTCATTAGTTAATGAATCAACATGTGAAACCAGGATTTTGATCTTTGTCAAAAAGCTTTATTACGCATGTACACTATGAAAAATGAAATGAAAATGATCTCAGATGACAATATGTTTGCTGACTCCTACACAGAAAAGAGAAATACTGAATGAGAGGGAATTGTTAGCATTACTTAACATAAAAATATCATACAGCATTTTATAGATATGGACACTGAACATTGATTATGATAATTCTTTGCCAAATTATCATATTATCTAGTACCATCCATTATCCATAGCAATTATCAATAGGTTGATAGCAAAGAATGCTAAATTAAAAAAACTACATTTACCGGTATACTTTAAATCAATGTTACATCGCAGACCTCTTAATCCATCAACAGCCCATACAGCTCTAATCATTTGCAAATTACAACACAGTTATTTGATGTTATCAAAATATGAAAAATACGCATCATACAATCATCAAGCAGTCATTAGTTAATGAATCAACATGTGAAACCAGGATTTTGATCTTTGTCAAAAAGCTTTATTACGCATGTACACTATGAAAAATGAAATGAAAATGATCTCAGATGACAATATGTTTGCTGACTCCTACACAGAAAAGAGAAATACTGAATGAGAGGGAATTGTTAGCATTACTTAACATAAAAATATCATACAGCATTTTATAGATATGGACACTGAACATTGATTATGATAATTCTTTGCCAAATTAAATAAAATAATAATTCGAGTGCAAAAAGAGAGAAATCACACATTCAATATAATGAACATGACTAAGCTGAACTGAATTGTTTATTAGAGAAGGAATTGAATTGTTTATGAACTGAACTGAGGTGAACTAAATTGTTTATGAGAGAAGGAACTGAATTGTTTATGAAATGAACTAAACTGAGTTGAACTAAATTGTTTATGAGAGAAGGAAATTATGAACTGAACTGATTGGAGCTGAGGTGAATTGAACTTAATTGAAATTAAGCCGAAGAGAACAGGCCCATAGTCGTTAACACCACCACCGGACATTTTCCGGCAGTCAATGACCCATGACGTGAGTGCCGACTTCCAAAGGAAGCACTCCCAAGTCCCACCTTCCCTCTGTTCAAACCTATAAATCCTTATATTCCTAAATGTCAATTCCATACCACACCTAATTCCCTACAACTCTTTACAACTTTACCACATACAAGTGTCGAGTATTAACTAATCCCTGACCTTAAAAAAAGATACGAAACACCAACCCAACGCAACAATAATAACAGCAACATCTTTAATTATGCTCAGTTCTACATACGCCCCCAAAAAAAAGGAAAAAAAAAGTGAAAATTTTACCATACAGCAGGTGGTACGCTGCTTGGTACATCTCTTTAAAAATCACAGCAACTACTTTCCTTTTTTTTAAAAGAAAAAAAAAAAGCCAACCTCTGTTTTTACGTGAATTGTGTAAGAGGATCATTCCATGTATATTTTGATTGAATTAGGATATTCATAAATTAGAAATCATATTTTCAATTTAGATATGAATTTCTAGAGAGAGAATTTTCTAGAGAGAGAACTTCATTGATAGAGAGAGAATTTCAAGTTTTTGGATAGACAAAATGGATGCTCAAGAATTTAAACATGATTTCGATCGTCGATATGCCGGTGATGATGATCATGAGAATGATGATGGTGGTGAATTTGATGATATTGTAAATTTGTAATCGAAGGAAAAGGTAAATTTATTTTTCCATTGATTTTGTAATCTTATTGAATTTGATGAATGTAATTGGCAATTTTATTGAATTTTATGCAAATTATTAATTAATTGCTAAATATATATATATAATTGTATTGAATCCTGATCTTGTTATTGTATTTATGTTAAATTTTAATCAATAATTATTGCATAAATTGCGTTAGTTTATGCTCTGTTTTTTTTTTAATTATACAAAGGTTGAAGATGATGTTCATTCTAAATTGCATTTATGTTCATTCTGCTCAGTTTTTTTTTTTTTTTAATAATTATACAATGGTTGAAGATGATGTTCATTCTAAATTGCAATTATGTACTTTTTCTTTTTTTGTCCGTTTATAATAGTTATAATGTTCTTTATTGTATTACATTATGTACATTTGACATGTTGTTTGTAAAGAACATACAGCTATTTTGTAAAGAACATGTAGCTATTTTGTAAAGAACATACAGCTGTTTTGCAAAGAACATATAGTTGTTTTGTAAAAAATATTTAATTTATATATATTTTTCCGTATCTAAAGAGCATCTGTAATTTTAATAAAGAACATGATAATATTGTGTAATAAACATTATCTATATATAACCACTATAATTTGTTCACAAAATTCAATGAACATTTCACAATATGCAAAGAACATTATATCACAAATAAAAATACATTACACTGACAATCAAAGAACATAGACATATGTTATTTTCACTTTTTTATGGTGCAAATATGTTCTTTTCACTTAGGTATATGTTCATTACATTTTGATAGTATGTTATTTTCACTCTAGGTATATGTTCATTACATTTTAATAATATGTTCTTTTCACTATACATATATGTTCATTACTTTTCTATATCATGTTCTTTCCTACAAAACGGTTGTACCTTGCACCGTACATGCGCCTGTAGGAACCAGCTATTGAAAAAAAAGTTGTAACAAGTAACTAATCAAAGAGGAAGAAAACCCAAAAATTGAATGATTAAGAAGTTCATCAATGGATCTATTAAAACACAAATATAAATAAATAAGAGAAAGGAAATGAAAGAAATGTTAACCTAGAATTTATTTATTTGTTCAAATTAATTACACACAAAACCCCCAAAAAATCACAATTTTAAATGAAATTGTTCAATCAAAACTCTAACAAAGTTAAAAGCGAAAAAAGAAAAAAAAAAAAAAAAAAAAAAAAAAAGGAATTACCTTTGGAGGATTTACAGTAGGCAGTAGGCTCGTATAAAGGATTTAATTTTTGAATAAAATGTTGACGAGACCTGAATTGAAGTTGAAGACCAGCCCTTTGCGCTCCATACTTGTACGAGACTTGATTGATTGCGGAAATTTTAGAGAAAAAGAGAATGAAGGACTGGAGATGTGGAGGAAGGAAAAGGCGGGAAAAGTTGAACAATGCAATGAAAACCCGATAGGAACGAGGAAGATGAAGAAAGACAAGAGTCAAAGAGAGAAAGAACAAGGTGAGCAAGACAGCAAGTGAGCATCAATTTTTTTTTTATTTTTTTTTTTTTTTGGGTGGAAGGGGGTTTAACCCGGTTTACTTTTTAGGCTAATTCAAATTTGAAAATCAATTATGAGTGGTTAGAATTGCAAGATCAACGTTAATTTTTTACTATGTATTTAGTTAAAGTGGGGAAAAAAAATAGTGGCACATGTTGTCTAAATTTCTAAATAAAAATTTGAAATAGTCAAATAAATTAATCCTAACAATACTATATATTTTAATTTAAGCTATTTCCTTTGTATTTTGTATTTTTAGGGTGGGAGGGGGTTTTACTAATATCACACCTAAAGATTGATGCTAATTACACGCTTATACATAAGGTGACACTCTATATAATATAAACCGTAACAATGCAAACAACAACTACCTGGATCTGCTTCTTCTCCCTCGATCTCTCACTTTCTCTCTTTCTCAGTCTCTCCTCCAAAATATCAGAGCTCTAGATAGAAACAACCCACATACACTAAAAGCATAATCACACTTAAAACTCGGCACGCGAAATCTTTTTTCTTGTCAAAAGAATACAGCACTATATATTACGGTAAAATTTCTAGTTCTTATTTATGTTTTGAAGATTTAATGGCATATAATATGATAGATCAAATTGAATTGTGATGAATTTGAAATGACTTTTTTGAGTTCATGCATGATCAAGTCAATATAATGTTAATTAGGGCATGGAACAAAGTGGGAAATATTCTTAAATTATCTAAATGTATGGCCAATCAGAAAAATACACATCATCTTGTACATATTTTTAATCTTATCATGCATGGATAATGAAAAGGAATTTAGGGGCCGTTTGGTTAGGGTTAATCATCAAGGGAATGAGAATCAACTGCCCTTATTCCCTTTGTTGTTGTTTGTTAGCCCATTTTTCCCATTCCCTTTACCCCCTTCATTCCCCCAAATCCCTCTAACTTCATTCCCACCCCCCTAGGTATTTCCATTCCATTCCCTACCCACCTTCACATCACCACCTTCACACCACCACATCACCACCGGAAAACTAGCCCAGACCACTGCCACCCCTACCCTTACCACTACGCCCCTCCTTCGACCACCGCCGACCCTCCCCCGAAAAAACCTCCCCAAGCCCCGAAAAAACCTCCTGCTAGGGTTTCGAGGGTGGTGAGAGGGCTGGACGGCGGATTTTGGGGTCAAAGGAGATCGGGGTTAGGGTTTTTTGGGGCTTGGGGAGGTTTTTTCGGGGGAGGAGAGGTCAAGGTAGTGCGACGAGGGGTGGTGGTGGGACGGCAAAGGGGGGGAGTTGTGGAGGAGGTGCGGCGAGTGGGTGGAGTGGCTGGGTGGTGGCTAAAAATGGTTGAAAGTGAAGGCGGGTGGTGGTGGTGTGGTGGTTGGAGTGGTGGTCTTCCATTCATTCCATTCCTTTGTTATTCAAAACAAACAATACTCCAAAATTGGGGGATTTTCATTTCATTCCTTGTCTTTCCCTTTGTTCATTCCATTCCTATTCCCTCGTGCGAACCAAACGACCCCTATTGGAGAATGATTGTGAAACTCTAATCATATCATGCATGGGTAGTGAAAGATTTTAACAACAGTACAATATATACAATATATATGTATAACATTATGCAATATTCCATCTAACAATTAATAATAATCACTCTCCACTACTAATAAACTCCTCGCATCTGCTAATTTGAGACCAAGAGCCATAGCCATCACATTATATATGTACATTATTATTTACACACAGTATTATTTCTTAAAATTACTAGTTTATAAATATTTGTGTTTTCATAAATGAGCTTCTTCACTAATACTGCGACCACTCTTGCAATGATCGTGGCTCAGTTAGTTCTGGCCATGATTGCCCTATCATATGCATATATCACGGAGAAGAACTTTGAGTTACGGGATGTGGTTGCATATAGTATGATTATTGCAACCATATTCCTAGTACCATTGGCTATCATTTCTGAATGGTAAAAACATTTCAAACTCTCTTTTAATCTACTTTCATTTTGTATATTTATTAAGAGTATTATATTATTAATGTTTATTTCTTTTTTGTTCCAAATTTTCTTTTGCCATAAGAGAAAAAATCCCCAAGATCAATCTAAACTCACTTGAAAAGTAATGGATTAGGTTTCATCTACAGCATGCTTGGGTAAATTAGTTTATCTCTTTTAATTGTAACTGAAAATTATGGCTATACAAAAATAAGCAAGGAATAATTGGAAAATAGTTGATGGACCGTTCTTAGCCAACGTTGAATCTATACATGATCATGGAAATAGAACAAAAGCCCCACCTAAGAAAAAAGAGATATGTATATTAGAGAGAAATGACAAATTCTGTATACGAGTATAATATCAATTAAAGAAATCGGACGATGAAAAACATTTGTAATGATCAAATCATAATTATAAGCCCAATTTTACAACATTTTTTAAAAAATACATCGAATTGGATTGAGGTATGATCTTTTAATTATTTTGTCATTCAAACAATTTAAAACTAGAAATCAAATACACTTGTGATCGATTGAATTAAAATTTTCATTTAATTTTTCTAATACAAGTACACATTTGCTTTAAATTTTGATATGCGGTCAATAGGTTATAATACATATGTGATGAGCTTGAAGATGGTTTCAATTAATATTACAATTGCAACATTAAATTTGTATCCCGCCATAACTTGTGTAATGCCAATTCTAATTAGGTATCATTATATTAGTTGGTTCATCTTTTAATCTTTGCTTAATTAATGAATTTGAAAGTTATATTGATCATGTTGAATAATAACTTATGATGTCATCCTTTGTTGTTTGTATATATAGGGTAGGAAATTTACAGTTTTAAACTTAGGGTCATGTAATCCAAATTTGGCCTCATACTGTAATCAAAATTTACAGCTCCCAAGTTAGTTTAGGGGTTTTAATTTATTTTTTTATTGTATATTTGTATTACATTTATATTGCACATATATTGTGCATATGTTGTACGTGTAAATCTATTGACTCATATAAATTGGTGTATGTGTAGACAACCCTACTATCTTTTTAACTTAGTTGACTACATTTAAAGATAACAAGTATATAATATTTACGTACATTATTATTTATGTACACTATTATTTCTTAAAATAACTAGTTTATAAATATTTGTGCTTTATAAATATTTGTGTTTCCAGAAATGTGCTTCTTCACTAATACTGCAGTCACGGTTGCAATGATCATGACTCAATTAATTCTAGCCATAATTTCCCTGGCATATGCGTACATTGCGGAGAAGAAGTTTGAGTTACAAGATATGGTTGCATATAGTATGATTATTATTGCAACCATATTCTTAGTACCATCAGCTGTCATTTCCGAATGGTAAAATATCTCGAACTAATTGGCTTTCATTTTGTATATTTGTTAAGAGTATTCCTTCATTATTTTTTTTTGTTGATTTTTTCCCCCCTAGGAGAAAGAATCACCAAGATCGATCTAAACTCACTTGGAAAGTGATGAGATTAGGTTTCATATGTGGCTTACTTGGGTAAGTTAGTTTATCTCTTTTATTTTATACAAGTATGTATTTACGTTAATTTTTTTATTATTATAATTGTAAATTGTGGTTATATAAAATAACAAGGTAAAATTGGAAAGTAGTTGGTAGCGTAGAAAAAGAACAAAAAGGCCCACCGACCTACGTAAAAACTAAAAAGGGGTATCTCATATATATAAGTCAAAAAAGGCCCAAAAACACCAAGTCATCACATGCATATCTTAATTGTTTGCCTTGCTCTGTTCTCATAAGTTGAAATTCAGTTCAGTTCAGCTCCTAATTTCCTTCTCTTATAAAATATTCATTTCAGTTCAGTTCACTTCAGTTCAGCTCCTAATTTCCTTCTCTTATAAAATATTCATTTCAGTTCAGGTCCTAATTTCCTTCTCTTATACAATATTCAGTTCAATTCAATACAGTTCAGTTCAGTTCAGTTCAGCTGAGTTCAGTCAATGAGAACAGGCCCTTAGTTTCCGTTTTCTCTTAGCTCTGTTTTGTTTTGTTGTTATTTTTGTTCCTGTTTCTTCTTGTGTGTGCTTATTTTCTTGGGGCTTTTCCCCTCTCTTTCACACACAAAAGAAAAAAAAAATAGTACTCGTATTCCATAAATAGTACTCATACTCGTACTCCATAAATAGTGCTTACTTGTGTCCTTAACATTATCTTATCTTCTTGAAAAACTAGTACTCGTACTCAGTAAGACCGTAACTACAAAGATTTCCACCATGTATCAACCTAAATAGCTCTAGCTAAGACTATGAGCAAAAAGTTAAAGGGGTGTCTATTGCTACCTTTCGCATGATCATTTGATACAGCCATACAACATATCTAGACGCAGAGTATCTTTCTTAGGCAAGGTCCAAGGGTGATAGTTGTGTCGAGTTGGTCTTAACAATTTAAGGTGTGCATGGCATTTGGTGACAAAGTAACTTGTTTGGGCCATTTATATCAAAAGTGTTACGTCTTGTAATTTTCATTGGGTCAAGTCTTCTTTCTGCCCAATCAAATTTCAGGTCAAGTCATGCCTTTTATTCTACTTTCCTTTATTTTTTTTTCCCTTTTCACTTGTAAATGTCTGGAAGTTTTATTAGCTTTAGGTCAAATATCTTAGTTTAATTCAACATTGTCTTCACATTAAGAGAGACCCATCATTATTTTCCCAATCATGGACACCCCATTGCACTAAAAGTGAAATCTATTTCAACATTTTGTGGGATATGCAAATGCCCTTTTAGACATTTATTTTATTAATTATAAAAAAGTTCATTATAAAAATAAATGTGATAAACACAATATGAGAGAACAAAATTTTGGAATGAAATATTAGCCGGTTAAATTATTATATGTTCTCACTCAAGAAATTAATCAACTAATATGAGGCTAAGTTGTTGGCTACCTCGCTCTAAAACTTTTATGGTAATGAGTTGGGATTGAATCTCAGTTATCTCACCAAGCTCACTCTAGGAATAATTTTTCTGTAATTTTCATTTTTAGAATAGGTTTTTTCTCTGCCCAAATAGAAATGATTAATAAGCTACACAAATAAAGTATCCAATTTCGCTCTCAAGCTCCAAGTTATTGAGTACTATGATGAACCCGTATTAACATTATGATTGTCCTAATTGAGGACTAAAATATTAAAGTCCAAGCAAATAGTATATAAAATGACTCAAAGAAATTAGTCTAAACATACATGTAATTAAGACTTCTACAAAGTTTAATGACTATAAAAAAAGATTTAAAATAAAACTTTCATACATTAAAGTCCAAAGAAATACAAGTAGTATATAAAATGACTCTAAAAGTTTCAAGAAGAAATTATATGTCTAAACATGTATTTAAGACTTCTTCAAAGTCTACTGCCTAGATTAAAGTTTAGATTTACAATAAACTTTCATACATTCCCTTCATTGCCATTTATTACATTTTATTTTTATGAAGATTTACGATTATTTTAGTTAGCTTAATTACTAAGTTCAAAATTCATAAACACCTACCATTTTATAAGAATGATGACATTTATTAAGTACTTGGGGTTATATAGTACCGGGCCACAACCTCCAATCCTTGGCTATACATTTGAGATTAATCTTTCTTTAGATGTTGTTCATTTCACAGTTCACATTTTTCCGCTATATATATCGTAATAGAGATAAAGATCAATCATTCTTTGGATGTTATTTTTTTCACTATCATTTTCCCAACTATTCCACAACTAGTATATAGGGTACTTGATTGCTATAATGTGAACTGAAATCTCATAAAGAGTAAAAAAAAAAAAAAAAAAAAAAAAAAAAAAAAAAAAAAAAAAAAAAATGAAAGAAAGTAAAAGGGAAAAAATCGGAAACAAAAGGCTTTTTACTATTTTACTAAAGACCTAAAATTGCAACGTTAATTGGGAAAACCTGAGCAGATCCTCCGAGATTGTACTTTTAAGTTGCCAAAACTTTAATAATTATCTGTGCCTCGTGTAGAAAAAGTAGTAGCCTAAAGTCGGCCTACTACAATCATATCAGTTGACTACAATTATCACCAACATCCTCTACAAAACTACGAGTAACATTTAATTGTAAATTTGATCTTTAATTTCTATGGCTATAATCACTGAATTTTGTAGTTGTAAGACTTGTAACAAAGTTGGGTTCTAGTACTTAATTAATATGTACTGCTCCAATCCCTTCATTTTAAACTAATTACTTTGTAAGTATGCTTAATAATGATTTATGATGAGATAATCAAGCAAATACAAGATGTGATCTAATTGGTACGTACTTATTGTACGTTGGCGTTATTGAGTGTAAGTGTATGTTACTTTGTACAAAGTCGTGTAATTAATTAAAGTAATGTTTACCTATTTCTATTCTTTACACCTTTTCACTTTATCCAGCGCCACTTGTAAAGTGATAAATGGATCAATGGTCTTCGCACACTAACAAACAAATAAAAAAAATAATTTAGTGGCTAGGATAATTTAACATACAAAAATACTTCGGAACGGAGTTGACACGCTTGTAAATAAATTACATATAAATTAAAAATCTTGCATTAGTTGCATATATAGTATATATATTAGTACTTACTAACAAACCATATTAAATAATTTTCTTAAAAATTTTTGTGGCATTTTAAAAACATGGATACCGCCATATAATTATTCTAAGTTTTTAAAAAAAAAAAATCAAAAAGTGTAGCTATATGAACTGACTTGAACTAGAATCTCAACGGGTTGCGTTGTGTCCTACTAGCTCGGTGTAGGTCATGATAATAGATATGTCTAACATATTATTATAGAGAGTACGTGAAACCTACAACTATCTATATAGGTTAGGGTCTTGTAAGCTACTTATGTAAAAAGACGAGGGTGCATGACTGTTTTCTAATCTAATAAGTAATTAACACCACTACCTTATCTACAAGAATGCCACACTTTTATTCAATACAATGAGGATTAAGCAATGAAATTTCTTCCAAACGATCTATAACCTAATGTTAATATGGGGTTGTGTTAATATAAGATTGTTATCTTTATACAATTGAAGGGATGAGGTTGTTAGCCTCAAATTAAAATACAATTGCTTAAAATATGTTATCATTTAGAATAAATATGTTTTTTAAGAGTTTGAATTTATTAATTAATCATTTTTTAATTTTTTTTAATATGTATATTACTTTGTATGCTCATGTTTCTCCTTCACCATCATAAATTGGTTAGACATGATAGTTATTGGCTCTAGATCTTAAACCTACCCTCAAGGGAAGACTAGAAAAGAGAAGGGAATTTTGAGCAAGAATGGACTTTCAATACTTGTATGGTGGTCCAGCAGGCTCAAGCCTTTCTTAAGAATTGAGTGGAGTACAATTAAACTTATTCCTTTTGGAACTTGAATTGTTTACGATAATTAAATTATAAAAAAAAAAAAAAGCATAATGTGTGTTAATTTAAGAGCCACTATATTGATTAGTGACTCAGATTTATGAAGCCGACTAAAAACATTGGAGTACTTTAAAAAAAAATGAAATTCTACAAATAACTTGATTTAGTTGTTCATTAAAGCTTTAACTATTATTTGTTTTTTACTTGTAATTTAATCGAAATAAGTATTTTGAAAAGAGCATGTAATCACCCTCAAACCTAAAGCTACCTTAGGTCTTTAATTAGTACCTTAAAAGTCTCACTTAACCTCAATCACCCCTCCCCAAACAAAAGTACCTTAACTTTTTCTAAACTTTCATCCTAATCTAACATAATAAGAATGTAAAAGTCAATAAAACCCAAAAAAAAAATTCAAATGAATTCACAAATCTCAACTACTTATTGCCTAACCTATTTGACATTTGCAACCATTAGCTAATTAGCTTACCTAAATTATTTCTTCCCTTTTTATTTATTTATTTATTTATTTATTTTTTATGTATTTACATTTAGCACAACTAATATTAAGTCAATTAATAAAACAATTAAAAACAGAGTAATAGTCAAAAGCTGTAAATTAGTACGTAAATAAATCATACAAGATAGATATATAGGTATTTGATGGCTCCTACTTTCTACAATCCTACTCCTTTTTACCAAAATACCCCTCCCTTATCTTTCTCTCTCTCAAATAATTACACTCATGATGACGTTCTCTGTTTCACTCCACAAACCCCCATAAAAATCCCACAAACTTTCTTGTTTTCTGATTCCAAAACCAAATCATCATCTTAATCTCTCTTAATTTCTCAAAAAAAAAAAAAAAAAAAAAAAAATGAAGGAAGCTCGATTCTTGAGGGGAATGACGTCTCGGCTCGAAGGCTACCAATTTACAATCAAATTTCTTCAATTTTATAAAAAATTTCTTCAAATTTTCATGTAATTTGTGTCAATTTTGCCTTCGGACCAGGCTTCATTCCCCTTAATTTGAGCTTCCAAATCCTCAAATTTAATCACAAATGCAATTTTCATGCTTCGATTTCAAATGGGTATGATCTATTTATCTCTTTTTATTCATAAATTTAATTAATTTCCAATTTTTAGATTGATTTTTTGATGGGTATTTTGTTTTAATTCAATAGGGTTTTGAAAGTTTTGATCTTTGTTGAGTGCAGATTAGTGTAATGATGAAAAGCTTGTTTTTTTAAATTTCTTTTTTGAGTGAGGGTTTGGCAGAGTAGGTATGAAGAAGGATTTCATCATTGCTGTTTTTTAATTTTTTGGGTATTTTGTTTGATTTATGATTTATTTAATTATTAATGTTGGAATGTTTATGAATTTCAACGCGAGTTATCATAAGTTTGCTTATGTGTTTGTTGTCAGTCATTTTGACTCTTTGTTGTAATCCCTAGTTTTCCATCATTGAACTCATCTTTTCTCATCATGACTACTTTGAACCTTCTTATAAATCCTCTCTCTCTTCTCTTCTTCTTGCTAGGGTTTGTAATACTATCATCTTCATTTTCTTCTCCTTTACATTTCCAATTTTCTCCCCAATTTTGATTTCTTAACCTCGCCTTGACTAATAAAGGTTGCGTATATCTGAACCTACTCAATTAAGTTTGTTATTAGCGTGATTTATATTGTACTATTTTTGGTTGTTGTCTAATACATACTCCGTATATGTATGATCTTATAAGCTTTTGCAAGGTTAACAATAATTAAGATCGATCAGAGTGTAGTTTCAAAGAGGATTTGTCTATTAACTCTTGTTTAGTAAATGTTGGTAGGTGAATATGAACATATATATAAATACATGTAATATAAATATACACAGTCAAATATTTGTTTAATGTGGTGCATAATGTATCATTGAAGATTTTGCAGGCACTAATTAAAATGTTGCTGGAACTTTCAATGGAAGATATGGTAGTTTTTTTCATCTTTAATGGGAAAGAGGTATCTTTAAATTTTTATATTATTTATTGTATGTAATGAATTCTAATTGTTATTATAACCCTAGCTTTTGATATAAAGATATGGTCCCTTTGTTATTTTTTTTCTTCTATCTTTAGTAGCTTTGATTCCTTCTTTAGAATAATTTTGTAGGTTTAATTTCTACCAAGAATTAATTGCATATATTCGACTATTGACACGTTTGAATTATGCTAATATAAAATAATGTAATTTGTAATTTTTGTTAATATATGTCATGAAGTTACAGTATTTTTCTTTGGCTTATTATCTGAATTTTTTTTTTACCCCTACCCCCTTTTCTTTTTACTTGTCTGTTATGGAAAGTGAAAATTAGCATATCTTTTCTATAATTGTTTTGTTGATTTGTTCATTGTTGGATCAAAAGTAGCATATGAATAATTGAGTTTGATACATTATTTTAGAAGCTCCCTAGCTAGGGTTAGAGTAGATATTAGTATAGGTCTTTTGTAAGACGACTGGCCAACTATACATTTATACAATGAAATCGAGATAATAATACGTAATATGAGACAATATTTGAGATGACGAGTAACTTTTTGTTTGAAAGAGGATGAACATAAAGAGGTATGAGATGGTTCGAGTTTTCTTATTGTATACCCCTAACTTATGAAATTATATGAGAATCTTCTATTACAAAACCATTGGTTAGGTTAGTGCACTTTTGGTGAATTTATTTATATAGCTGCATTTATCATATTAGTGGGTTGCATGATTTGCAATCAGACTGCAAATTTGTTTGTGCATCAAACAGACAGAGTAGTGATTTGCAAGCTTAGGACTTTCTGCACTATATAAAATTATGTTTGATTTCTTTTAGGAGCATGTAGCAACTTAAATCTGCAAAGAATGTAATACCTTGCTTGCTTATCTACTAGCTTCTAATTGACATGCCTTGTAAGCTAAAGCCTGTCTAATTCATATAAAGATTCAATAAGTATATTTAATTATACCTAATTACGTACTATTATATATAGTAGGATTAGCGTTAAATGTTTACCACTATAAATTGACGTGTGATTTTTGGACATTGATTAATGTAACATAATTTGCATATAACTCACATATTTATGTGACTTAATTTATTAATCCCTCCGTCCCTTAATTATTAGATGTATACTTCTTTTTATTATGTGAGTAATAAATGCTAAAATAGGCATCTAAAAGGAACGAGGAAGTACTTTATTTGCTTCTCAAGAATCTCAACCCTTGTCATCTTTTGATTGTCATTTTGCAACTGTTAATTATGCTTGCCAATCAACTACAGAAGAGCTAACCTTAATAACAGTTGTTGCCAAGGGCAAATTGAAAAGTTGTTGAAACAAAAACACCTTTCTATTCAATTTCAAAAGCCCCACAAATTTTGCCTTCAATATACCATGCCTTAACTACATGTAGCTTTTGTTCCCTGTTTTAAACTATATATAGCTACCTACTAAATGAAGTTAGAACTTTGAAATAACGAAAGGAAGTAGGCTAACAGTTGAAAGGAACTTCATTCTCAAAAAAAGTTGGAGGAACTTTGTTTCTAAACGTAGACATGATAGGTAATTAGGTACATAATTTGAGAAAAATATTTTTAATTAGATAAGGACAGATTCGTGTTAATTAATGAGTTTATACAAAAGCTAAAATGTTGATAGAATTTGCAATGGATGAAGTATTCCAAAAATGACTAGGATCTCCTAATAGCATGAGATGATGAGATCGAACACATAAAAGAGTGCGGATGAGAGTACCAAAATCATTTTACGGCCTGTTCACTTCAGCTTAATTTTAGTTCAGTTCAGTTCAATTCTGTACGGTTCTTAATTTCCTTCTTTCATAAAATATTCATTTCATTTTTATTTAGTTTAGTTCAACTCTAATCACTTTAGTTCATCTCAATTCAATAAATATGAATAGGTGCTTACTCGTGTGAGATAGAATTGTCTTGTTGCTAGGACAATTACTAATTTGATATTTTGGAGGTATTAAAAGACAACAGTACAGTTGTACTGTAATAGTAGTAAATGAGTGAGACTAGAAAATACTGTAGTAGAGCAGTAAACTAGAGAGAAGAAGGACAAGAGCGCAAACATCGGGTGTTGGTTGGCATCTCAAGCCTGCAACCCTTTTTAAAGCCTTGGTTTTTGAAACCAAAATGTCAGACGCTTGCCGCTTTCTATTTACACCTGCCTAAAAGATCAACATGCCTAAGCTACCTTCCTACCTATTTTTATCAACTTGAGAATCCTTTGATGTTTACCTTTTTTATATGTCCAATTTTAAACAACTTAAGCAATGAATAATACCCTTATTTTAGTGTAAGATACGATTATCAGATCATACTTTGAAAGTTTGAATTGAGAAACTTTGCACTAATATATGTTAAAATTGAAGTCACATTCAATCATACATACAAATTAAACTACATACGAAGTAATAAACAATGCAAGGTGACTATTATTACCTATTAGTTAAGATTAAAGGTGTGTGTACTTTAACTCATAATTTTAAATTTTCACCTGACTGTAACGTAATCAGGAATATTATTGTCTTTTGGGGCTCATTCGGACCAAAAAACTTAAAAATAATGCAATCAACCTTATAACAAGACCTATGCATGTGCTAGGAAGAATGGGAGTATTGAGGGTCAAGGTGTATGTGCTTCAACCAAACATTTAATCCCCTTTTCTGATAAATTGTAAACTATCCCTCGAACTAGTTATGGCTAATGTTTATAAGACTCTTTAATTTGGGGAAGTTGGTTAACCATATAAAAACGTTCTTACATGACAACTTATATTATTATATTCTCTCTGATCCCTAGCTCAATGCAATAATCCCATGCTAAAGGGTGGAAGATTGGATGAAGACCCTAGCATCACTTAAGCTAAGTAGTGCACTAATGTAATATAGTACGAAATATCTAACTACGGAGTAATTAATCACCCTAAAATAGGGCAATGTGCATTTTTTGGATCTTAAATTTGAAATGTGACTTATAATTAAAGACGAAACAAGTTGAACTAAATTTTTCATTTTATGATTAAAAGATACATATATGGGCATACAACACTGTATAATCAAGTGAAAAATATATACACTAGCACGCTTGTATCTTGGAAATCTTTACTACTCGCATTATTCTATATTTTGGACCTTTGGTACCACCCTAATATTCTTCTTTAACCTTTGAGCTTTTGACTATATTGGACCAATTATACAAATCTATGGTCGTAATAAAAATATTGGACCAATCATATTAATCATCATATTAATATTCAATGGTTATAAAATTTTTTTAATTATTATTGTGACTATATATATAAGGAGTATAAATTTAAACCTCATACATGTTCACAAATTACAAACAAATATACAATACTATAAACTTGTGCGTGTTATTTCATAAATAAAAACATGTAAACATTTTATATAATTCCTGTATAAAATAAAGACATAAAGTACGTAATATTGCATATAATAAAGTGGAATATAAATGAGATTTATTATCTTGTTGCTAAAGTAAATTGACATGGTTCGTGGGAGGCAAGTGCGTGTACAGGGGAATAAGTCTAGTTGACGAAGGTGGAGTACAGAATGTATGTTGTACCACGGATCTATGTATCTGTCCATTGTGTCCAATTCATTTATTTGATCGTATATTTTTTAATTAGTAGTACTTGTAGTTAGGTGAAGAACTAATCAAGATTAGCAACATTATTAATAAAAATTTCATTAATTATAATAAAGATGATGATTTGTATAGTTTTGACCTTACTATAGTACTTGTATTAATATAATGTGTATGGCTAGCTATGTCATGGACTTACAAACTGGAAATTGTTTAAGGTATGAGTTGGTTATTGATGAGAGATTATTAGGATTTTCCAGTCGTTTGTTTATTGGGAGATATCTAAGGTCAATTGAATTCTACTCTTTGGTTTCCAACAGAAATGTATATACAACAAGAAATGTAGTAAATTATTAATGTGTGCATAATCATACAAGACACTTACCGCCACGGGTTAATATACAGCCTATTCTCTCCATCTTATTTCAGATAATGCTAATTATTTAATTTTATACTTGTATAATTTGATTAACAATAGGTTGAAAGTTTAACATGACTACTTTTTAGTTCAGTTCAGTTTAATTTTAGTTCAACTCAGCTCAGTTCAGTTTCTAATTTCTTTCTCTCATAAACAATCCAGTTCAGCTCAATTTAGTTCAATTCAATTAAGTTCAGTAAATGAGAACATACCCTACTTGTAAATATTATAAAAGCTTTTGGGAAAATAATGAGCAAGTATAAAAAAAAAAAAAAAAAAAAAAAGCAACGCTAATACTTCCTATGAATCATGATTTTACTAGAATTATCTACTTGAACATTTTAGAGAATATAAATACAGGACATTGGGAGCAATTAGAAAATATGGTATGTGAATATTCTAGAATATTAGGGTTACAAAAATGATTGAAGGAAGTTCTCGAATTTTCATGCAATTCTTCCAACTCCATCCACAACTATAAATATCCGTGATAGGCATACAAAGCATACACATAAGATAAGCCACAAATTACTAGCCTTCCTACATACATTATTTCTACGAGTCCATTATTCCTATTTGTGTAATACTCCTATTTTGTTTTCATATAGTGGATTATATCAATGCTCGTCGTCATTTTTATTTTTATATTTTTACCATAACGCATATCAAAATGGATGATTTCACATATTCCTACTTCTTAATTTACATCAAATTGATGAAAATGACTATAATAAAAACGATCATAATAACAATTATAATACTTTAGTAAGAGTAACCATTAAAATCAATTGTAGCAATATGCCCCTATTCATGCTAATTTTATCAATTTAATAAAAATGTGATTAGTTGTCCATATCCAAAAAAGAATTAATGATCTATTAACATGTGGGATTTAGACCAACAAATGTATTCCAATTTACAAATACAATCTGGCTGCCGACGCACCAAAACCCACTATCATAAGATTTATAACAAACAATTATTCCTCCTCTCATCATACAACTATGAAGATAGCAATCACTAACAACAG